AATGAAGGAGTGGTCAAAGGAATGGAATGATGAAGTAAGGAAGGGTAGTAGTAAGAGTCAGTATGTATATAGTTTATAGACAGTACTCCTGAGGGACAGAAGTCTCAAGTTCTAGTACAGAAGGGTGTAGAACCCTTAGAACTGAAGGTAAGAGAGTAGAGGATTGTAACATCACCCCCCCTCTAAAACCAATTGTCCTGATTAGTAAACATTAGGCTCAGTCAGTAGCTTAGGTATAGGTCAGAACAGTAGGGTTTGGAAATCTGTGAGGTGGAGTTGATACAGAGCACCCAGATGAAGTTGATAAAAGTCTCAGATTACTTTAACAGTATAGGTAAGATTCTCAGCAGGTTTTTAAGTACATTCTTCAACTAGGTATCCCTTCTAGTGGATAAGGAACTTGAGCTTTTAGTGTACCAGCTTGGCATCCACTATGTACTCTACTTTGTATTCTAGTTCAGAACTGATAAGTTCTAGTAGAGGCAGTAAGGGTCTTTGTTGTGAAGGAAAACTCAGATTGTAGTACTAAGACAGTAGAACCTTGTTGAACACTAAGTGTATGTGCTTCTATATTGTTAGAAGTTGGAGTTTGTAGGTAGAGGCACTGACCTTCTTTTCAATAATAAAGGGTCTGAAGTGCTTGTTGTCCAACTTCTTCATTAGACAATCTGTGGTCAGGTTAGTAGCTTCTAGCATAACTTTGTCACCAGGCTAGTAATCCTTGGCTACAGACTTCTTCTAATTATAGTTCTGCTTTATGACCTGTACTATCTTTTCCAAAAGAGCTTGTGTGTCCTCCCTGGTTCTGTGTATCTGTTCTACAAAGTCTGTTGTAGATTCAGAACTACTGTTCTAGTTTGGAACTGTCCCCTGGTACAGATGTCTCTCATAATTAAGGAATAATAGGGACTGTCCTGTTGTAGAGTGTTACTAGTTATTGTACACAAATTCTACTAGAGCTAACTATTCAGACTAATCTGATTACTAATAATTAATAAACATCTAGAGGTAGAGCTTGATCTCCTGATTGACTTACTCAGTTTGACTGTCAGTCTGTAAGTAATAGGTAGTAGAAGGGTTCCCTTAAATTCTGAGAAGTGTATACAAGTCCTGTATGAATTTTAACTCAAATTACAGTCTACAATCATGAATGAGCTTCTAAGGGAGTCTATACAACTGGAAGACATGATCCTAATAAATGTATACTATACCTTTGAAAGTGAGTTCTGTTTAGGTTGGAACTGTGTAGACTTGCTTAGAGAATTGGTTAACAATTATACAGATAGTGTTATAACCCTAAGACTTGGGTAGCTTACTAATCAGGTCTACTAAGACTTCTTCCTAAGGGTAATTTAGGATCTGATATAAATGTAGGAGAGCCTGAACCCTTGTCTAGTAGGCCTTAGTTTGTTAGTATGTATTGTAACCAGTTACATACTTTAGAATTTCCCTCTACATTCTAGGCTACTAGTAGTTCTGAGTAATAAGTTCCTACATTTTGTGTCAGCCTGGATGTCCTACAGTCAGATTGTTGTGATGAGCTCAGACAATGTCCTCTTACAGCTTCCAATCCTTTAGAACATACAGTTGGCCTTCCTAGTAAACCTGTCCATCCTTAGTCTTCTCCCAATCCCTAGCCTGCTTCTCTAGCTACTTTACTATGACCTAGTCCTGTGTGTGTCTTAGAGCTTACTGTATGTAGGTGACAAAGTTGACATTCTCAGATTTGAGTCAGATCTCTTAGATTGTCTTGGATGCAAAATGGGAATTGTCTAGGAGAACAAGATTTTTGTTATTATTCTCCCCCCTTTCATAACCTACTTGTCTTAAGAGTAAATCAGCTTTTGTCATTTGTGTTCTAGGTTTGTAGGTTAGTACAAAGTTATAGTCCTACAGTTCTAACATCTAGTAGGCTTAGTAGTAGTTGAGCTTCTGAGGCACTCAGAAGTATTAGAGATTAAGGTGATCACTCTAAATCTCAAACTTCTATATAGTACTAAGGAGATATTAATACTACTCCTTTAGAGAACAGACAATTGTAAAGAGTTCCTTATTATAAATAAGGTAGTTCTGTTCTGTTATAGAGAGGGATTCTGATTAGAACACTATCAGACACTACTTTCTGTTAATGAACTAGGACAGTACTACTCTATTTGCAAAGTTGGAAGAGTTGACTTTGACTCAGAACTTGTCTACAACTGTCAGAACTGCTAATACAGGCTTACTAGTAATAGCCTACTTTAGGGACTCAAATGTAGACTACTACTAATCCTCCCATTACTAAGGAACATCTTTACTAGTGAGATTGTGAAGGGGCTGGGCAATAGTACTAAAGCCTTGAATGAAGCATTAGTAGTAGTTCACAAACCTAAGGAACACTTGGACCTGTTTCAGGTTCTAAGGTTGTAGCCAGTTCTGAACTGTAGTTACCTTTGCTGGATTCATACAGACCTCTCCTCTACTAATTACAAAACTCAGATAATCTACTAACTCCTGTACAAAAGAGTACTTTACTTCTTAGAGGAACAGTTTATTATCTTAGAGCTGTTGTAGAACTACTCAGATTAGTTAGTAATAGTGCTTGACAGTCTGGGTGAAGATCAGAATGTTATCTAAATACACACTAACATACTCTGAGTCAATCAGATCTGTAAGGATGTGATTCATAAATGACTAGAATGTTACAAGCAAGTTGGTTAGTCTGAAGAACATTACAGTCAGTTTGTACAATCTACAATTAGTTTAGAACACAGCCTTCTACTCATCTCTGTCTTAGATCCAAATATTATTGTATCCTTATCAAATGTCCAACTTAGTAAAAACCCTGAATGTATACATCTTATTAATGAACTCCTGAATCAGAGGGAGTAGGTACTTGTTTTTGATAGTACTCTCATTGAGACAATAATAATCCTAGACTGAGTAGAGCTTCCTATCTTTCTTTTTAATAAAGAAGAAAGGGGAGACTATAAGGGACTTTGAGGGTTAGATTCAGCTGTTCTGAAGATTTTCCTAAAGGAACTTGTTGAGCACCTCCTACTCATCTCTGTTGAGTGGGTAGACCTTACAATCCTTAGGTTGGAAACTCTTAGTCAATTTAATTGTATAGTTCTAGAGACAGTGTTTAGGAAGCTGGTCAAATTCCTCTTTACTAAAGACTTTAGGGAACTCTTAGACAAAATCCAGCAGGCTGAGTCTATGTGTATTCTAGAGTAGAGTCATTCTAAGAGGGTTCTGGACTGGTTCTGTCTTGGACATTCTTCAGATTGACTCTGTTCTGCCTTGACTAGAATATGTATTCACATATCTATCCTAGTTAAAGAAGAACAACTGGTCACCTTCATCAGAACTGTTAGTAACATTAGAAGTGTCTGTATCTACTCAGAACAGTAGTACAAGGTAGTCATAAGACTTGGGACACTAATCAAACACAAGTGTCTACTCTAACTAGTCAATAGTAGGGTTGTAAGCCTTAAGCTATTCAAATCTGATAAAGATGTTTGTCTTTCTGAAGTTAGTGACTCTAAATTCAATACTTTCCTTATAATCCTGAATAGTCATTCATAGTTGGACAAACTCAGTAATCTGACTATTCCAGTTTAGGGTTCTGTCTGTATTGTATACTAGGATCAGAAGTAGAACACATTAAGTAGGGAGGTAGTGTTCTTACACAAGAGCCTTATTAATATACAAACTAGTGTATTTACTGTCTACTAGAGCTATTGTTTAGGTTTAGGGGGATCCTGAGAAGGGAGCTAAGAGGACAGGGACCTAGAGCTAGTGTCTGGAACATTCTCAAATGAACTACTACTTGTTCTGAAAGGAATGTACAGCTTGTACAACCTTATTGTCTAAGAGGG